TGGTCAAATGCCCTTCCTCGTTGTCGTACTAGATTGGTAGAGGTATCGTACAAATGAGGTACGGCAACACCGGATGGAAAATAATTCCTGTAACAAGCCAGTTTGTCAAAGCAAAGCAAATGGTTTTAATAAGAGCTAAACATTTAGGACATTTACAACGCAAAAATAACTGTCACTTACCCCATTTGCTTGGTTGGGCATAGCAGTTGATACTGGCTAGCCGGAAAGCCGTCGTTTATGGCTAAGTCGATTTCCCTGGCCCTAACAATAGCAGCTGATGGTCGATTTGTTGCCTCGAGATTACTGCGATGTTCGTTTAGGCATCGAAGGGCACCTTGGTTCCCCGCATATTTGTCTCGTGATGTACAAAATTCTTGCGTGCCCTCATTAAAGCACAGTTTACAAATCTCCTGTGTGTTGTCGCCAAAGGGGTTGAAAGCACTTTGGAGAGCATTTGGCGCACAGGAGTCGCCCAAGAATCGTATCAAGTTCTGAACAACACTGTTGCATTGAGTGATATTTATGGCATTCAGATCTCCAATTAGTATGCTCAGAGGCAGAACCCAGCCCTCAGCTGTTCCGGCACCTGTTTACCTTAGATTTAAGACAATTCAAAGATAAAATAGCTACCTGCAAAACAAATCTCCTTGCGCCGAAGATCATAGGGGCTAATGGCTTCCCCAACCGGAACAATAATGTTGGCATAATAGTAGAGATCACCCTGAGGGTTTGTCTTGTCATAATTCTCTACGGCAAGGGGTCGCATGCCGTAGTTTCGACTGGCTATATCACCCAGACCAACGTCCAAGGTTATGAGATCAGCCTTGTTTGTACTGATCAACTTCATACAATCGAATTCGCTCAGGCCGAGGACGCAAGAAAGTGTGAAGTTGGTGGAAAAGTTTGGTATTTTGGAGATCGCTGCAGCCAAGTTTTCACATTTCATCTGTTCTGCTTGCTTAAATGTACACCATCGGACGGTGGCTTGAAAGAAATAAAGATGATTTTTTTGACGAGAAAAGTCCGAAACTATCAATATGTCTCAAATGCGATCGAGAGCGTCGCCGTGAAACGACAGTATGTGATATATGCAACAAACGTCGCTATATATGTTTTACACCTAACTCATTGCGGAAAATGTCCCTTATCAACCAAAATTCACAAACGTGTGCGCAAATCCACGTAACCTTGTATTTCAGCAGTATTGTATGCTAATATTTATTCTTGAATAAGTTTGCACATGCGTGCCCGTTTTGTATGCGAAGAGAGTCATATTACTCAATTTCGGATTATGATTAATCATAATCGGAAGGCTTTACCGAGTAGAACTTGTCGAACTTGAAAATCAATTTTTTATCCACTTAAACCGGATGAGGCACGATACATCATTTTTATTTAGAAAACCAGACATTTATCAGTTTAGAAATTGAAATTTGCAAATTTATCTGAGTTTTTGGTCTAGAACGTAGGAACCAGCGAACTTATTAGGGAAAGTGCCTAGGCATATTCTTAGGCGTATTCATTGCAATCTTGAGTCTGCAATATTTGTTTGCAGTCTCAAGTATGATGCATCAGACATGTGAGAAAGATTGCGTTCGATTATAATTGAAAACAATTCCCCAGAAAGTAGAGAGTTTGCTGCAAATAGCTTCTCTTAACGAACAAATATTGCAAGAGAAGTATTAAAATTAACGAGGACATGGTTAAATGCGAGGATATCCATAGTATTTTCCCGCAACATAGGAAGAAATTTCGCCCTACAATGTTCCTGACAAAACTGTACAACCCAGATGACCATTTTCAAGAAATTTTTGTTAGAATAGTGCAAGAATAATTATCTCAACATCTTACTTGCGCCGGCAGCGGTCTGCATAATGCCTGAAATTAGTAGTACACAAAATGAGAAATTAAATGGGTCTTTTCCCATCTTCAGTGATTTTGTAGTGTTGCCATATTTACTATAATTTACATTTAAGTAATTTAAAGAACGAACTGAACTCATGGGTCTCAGCGGTCACGCTCCGAAAGGGCTACCACATTTTGATGGCAAAGATTCCGGAATAGTGTGTTATTTGTTCGAAAGGATGGAGGGAATAAAAAGTTCATATTCCAATTTGGGGCGCAAGCAAAAAGCCCAACGGTACTCATAGAGAATACGTATCAAGAAGCGTACACGTTTGTGTCATCGAAAAATGTAACAACAAAAGACTTACAAGTTTAACCTGGAAAACAAGGGAATTAGGCAAAGACGATTGTCTAGAGCGAGAAAAAGGGAACGATAGCCCAGGGCTGAGGAACTCTAAAATTAAAGCCGATACTGTGCAACATCTAGGGGACACTCGAAGATATTTACGTCATGGTTGAGTAAACCTACAATGAGAAGTTACATAAACAAGGAAGCTACCACAAGTTTGCGTTTGTTGCAAGATTTCTGAAATAGAATAGGTTCGTTCTGGTCTTTGTCAAATTCATGAAGCATATTAGCACGTATTCGGTCCGGACCAGGCTAAATAGGGGTATAAATTGGAGTGATTTTGCCTTTACTAGGGTGGACAGGACGTACACTTCCTTTTTAGGAAAGAAAAGAAGGTCTTTAGTTAAGAAAAGAGTAAGAGGAGTGATGGATGCATTGGCGTAGTAGTCAATCTTAAATTATCTTTCTGGAGACCCGAGAATTGGATTATAACTTGGTGTCTTTTATTCCTCCCCATCTAACCATATAATATATTTCAATGTTTCAGAAAATCTAATAATGTTTTCATTGCGAATTTCCCTCGAACCGCACCACTGGATTGGTGTTTACTGGATGCGCGCCATGAAAGCTTCCTTATTCATAAGTTGTGTCTCAACGACATTGAAAAACGATATTGTATTACACTTCCAAATTGTTAATCAAGATAGGTTAGGATAATGTCTAAAGTAGTGGTTTTCATAATTTATTCGTTCCAATAGTCAGTAAATTAGTTTTTGCCCTTGAAAATTCTCCCCAGCAGCAATTATTTAGCAAAACAAACGAAAATTTGCCGTTTAAACAGAGATTATCACAAACAACCATTATTGGAATGTGTAGGTCTTTAGGCTAGATTATATGACGAATGTTCCGAGTCATCTCTCACCCCCCCGCCTCAAATTACTCAATATACCCAACAGCATGCAAGCTCGACTGATTTTTTTGTTTCAACGAAACCCCCTTTCTGCTGATGGATTTTATTTAGTTGTGGTTTTGTTCTATATAATTGTTCTAGGAAATGCCTGGGTTCCTTCTAAACCGGAAGTCAGTCCACCCGATTAAATGCTCCCTGACTTTATTTTACCATAGCGTTTTCCTCTGTGCGTTTGCTCACGAAATGTAAGACCATTAAGTCTCCCCTTTTTATGTATGAACACTTTCCTCATCTTTTCCGGGCAGCTTTCTCCACGATCCCGAGAAAGGACCATCGGGAATTTAGGATTCCTTCTTGAAACTACCTTCCTTTGACTCGTGTCCCCTGGAATCAGGACTTCTCCCTATACCATCAGTTATTCAAATGAGGGAAGTAATGTGGACGTACGCAGTCTTGAATGCTCTCGTTTCTTTGACCG